TAGGGTCCCAGTAAGTTGAAAGACATTATATATGGATAATGGAAAAGAAAACGGAAACTATTATAGCATATTAGGGTGTATATTGGGGTTATATAGGGATAATGGAAAAGAAAATGCAAACTACTATAGTACATTAGGGTATATACTGGGGCTATATATGGATAATGAAGAAGAAAATGGACTACTATAATAGGGTCCCAGTAAGTTGAAAGACAATCTGCTTTCTGCTGCAGCCGCTGTGGTGATTCTGATCCGTTGGGGATAATGGAAAAGAAAATGGAAACTACTCCTCATATGAGCCATTATTTAAACTCCTAGTATCCCCCTTAATAACCCTTATCATAGTCCCGTATATAGTCTTCTACATAACCGCCCTTTAAGGAGTTTAGACTATAGCTCATACATCCCTGGACTTCCCCAAAAACCCAGATTCGGCGGAATCCCTACTTCGGACTATAATGCCAGGTGCTGAAGTGGGGACTTTGCAAAACAGGAAACCTCAAGGATTCAGGGGCACATGGGGAGTGCAGAAGCCTATGGATTTTCTTACAGGATTCTACATATATATATATATAGATAGAATGTGTGAGATACGCCGACATGGGCATATTTCAGCAGCCACTGACCCAGCAGAATTCGAGCCAGCACAGTGGGTCTCCATGAAGAATGCGGTCCCAAGTGCGTGGTCGACAGGTAGGGACAAATTACTCGAGTGCTCCCTTGCAAACTGTGCTCCTCCCTCTACATGATGTAAGTCCTGTGTGGCGCTGCCAGAACCATTGGCGGTACTTCTCTTGCAGCAATGCAGCATCCTGCAAAAAAGGATTCGGCTCTAGGACTGCCAGGGATAATGGAAAAGAAAATGGATACTCCTACATTATAGGGATATATACAGGTTGTATAGGGGCAATGGAAGAGAAAATGGAAACTACCATTGAGGAATTAGGGCTTAGATTTCAGAAAATCAGGGGTCATTACGGACCCTGGGGAGCAAAGGGTTACATGAGGCTCCCCATGCATTAATTAATGACTTTGCACGGGCAATTTGGACAAGGTCCCGAATGCCAAGCGATGCAGGCACCTATCACCCCTATGTTGCCTCCCAAAGAAGCCTCAGTATATAGTTCCTCATATTACTCACCAGGGCCTAAATAAGGACGACTAGTGTAAGGGTCCCAAAGTACAGGAGTATCGTATTCTGGTTACTGCATCCTTGTATTGCCCCATAAACAGTTGCCGCGCACATGCATCAATACGGGCAAATGCTCATGATGAGTCGATCATCGTCTGGATCAGGAATTTGCAGCAGACGCCCCCCGGTGAATCCCAACCAGCTTCATAGGCGTGCTTTGTAGATCCAACACAGTGCTGGGAAGGTGACAAGGGTTAATTGCAACACCCATGTTGCGACGAGCTACCTTACAAGACGATGTCGGGGGGAAAAATGTGCAAAGAATGCGCATATCATACACGAGGCGGAGGAAGCCCTGCTCTGTGAATAATATTGTAATCTGTCCCCTGGCTCCCCTTAGAACGCTGATGTGATACCCCCCCCCCCCGCAACAGAACCTAAACCTCAAATCTTGAGCCTCCCCAAGGCCCGAAACTTGCCGAAGCCAGCAGTGAGCAGCAAACTCTAAGCCCCAAACTCCAACTAGCAGTGTCAAACCAAACAATCTCGAACGCCCGTTTGTCTTTGCTGAAGTCCGGAGAGAGACAGTGCCTGCGGAACCTCTGTGAACCCTTATATGGTCCATACATAGCCCTTAACGCCGTCAGTAGAGAAGGCATGACAGAATTCGTATATATAGACACAGATACACACATATGTGTATGTATGTACGTACATACGTACGTACATCTGTACGTATGTACGTATGTACGTA